ACCATCATATAGCTGGAATATTGCTGAGTGTGTTGTTAAACAACACACAAACAATCCTTGACACTAGAAACACATGGCTAATGACACCATCTATCTAAAATCCCCACTAGAAAATACTTGGCAACACCTGTTGAAATGAAGGATCAACTACTAGATGACAGTGAAGAGTTCCAGAGGGAAATCAGGGGCAATGTGTAATATGAATGATACTGGTGATTAATCTCACTACATGTATCTGTTTATCTGTCCATTTTTTTATCTCTAAACATTTAGGACTTTATCATAACAATCCAATTTTGTACAAATTGCAAACCCTATTTAATAACATAAGATATCAGCTTTGTTTAAATTGTCAAAACTATACCAGCATGTTTTAGAATAACCATAAACTTGTCAATGTAGACCACTTTATGGATAACAATTTCTTTTTTACTGCAGAGGTGACGTTTCAGTATTGAACCTCATACCATTGTCAAGCAACGGTAGACAGACCATGGTATAAAGATCTATACCGAACTGTCACCTCTACATTAAATAAAGAAGTTGTTATCCATAAATTGTGTCTACTTTGTCATCCGTCAACTTCTACGTAATGCATATAAAAAAATACAACTATAAACTTGTCTTTTTCTGTCAATGTATTATGCTACAGCTAATTCATTACATGGAACATTACATTAATGAATGAACCTTCGGATTATTTGATAACACTGAGTGCAACGTAGGCAATAGAAGATACCGTTACACCTGAACATGCTGACGAGAATGTGACTAAAGGGAGATAACTTCTACTGATAATAATAGTCATGTCTGAAATTTGGCTCTCCCAACAAACGCTGACATGCAAGTCATATGGATCTGTGAACCTGGAATTAAAAATAAAAGCAGGTAGCTAGAAAATCTTAATGTCTATTTCTGTACAGATTACGTCTTTTTTTAGCCTCATAAAATAGGCTTCTTGTGACATATAGGCATATATGCATGCATCTTCCCGAGGCAAGGACGTTAACTGACTGTAAAAGTCCAGTTTCCAGTCACTACAATTCAAACATTCTCTTAAAGGAAAAGGAAATGTGGTAATAATGAATAATGACTGATTCATGATGTGTTTTAACATCATTCGTAATAAAAAAATATCCATGTTAATGGGTAACGAAGTAAATGCAGTTTTTAGAACTCCAAATGATGAGTTTGCATTACAAAAAAGGCAGTACATGGGTTATCAGCCATTGTTAAGAGGGCACTGGTGCAGACAACTGTAAATGCTTTCATCTACCATTGATTTGAAGGTCAGGGATTTAGTCAAGTTTAATGTAGGTAGGCTGTTCTGACTCTACAGTAGTAAGTTCATTTCGTGACTGTGCCAATGACATCAAGGAACCATGACATAATTACCATGTCCAAATTCTGAATTTGTTAGAGTGTGTTCAGGATACAGCATGTTCTTCATAAATCAAGTCAAAATGTTTTCAGCACTTTGAAATTTTAAAAGACATGTTAGTTTGACTGATAACTGTTCTGGCAAAACATGTGTTAGGCCTATCAAAAAAATATGTTTGGTTCCTATCACATAGAAAAATATAAGAGGGTAGGTTGGTCAGAAAATTATTTTATTTTTTCAAATATTGTACATGGCCTATCTATCACTTAAAGTCACTTCTTGTTGCATGGATGACAACAAAAACTTTTTTCCCCAGTATGTCAGATAAACAATCAATTAAACAGGGAAATAAAGAATTTAATGAAACATGTTGTAATCATATTGTCAGCACTGAACAAAATGATGAAAAACATCAAGATAAAGTCTGGGGATTGTCTCATTTTAAAATCAATCTGAGTAAAAGTAGATAGGATCAGGAGTAAAATGTAGGTAGGGTCGGGTAACAGGAACCAAGCATATTTTTTTATACGCCTTATGCAATGCTTCATAACTCAAATCAAAGAATGAGTAATTAACAGCTGAATACATAGTACCATTAAAAAAGTGTTACTAGTAATTGTGGTCTAGATTTTTATTTTTGAAAAATCATCGATAGTAGGTTGGAAATAAATTATATAACAAAGACATTTCACATTATATTTTTATTATTCAAAATGTTACACGATGATTATATCATGAGCAATGTTAGTTTAACTTATCTTGCAGGTCCTGGTTAACTGTATGCACGAGAACTGGACAAGCCAAACCTCCTTGTATATTTTGGCGGACTCGTACACAAATGTTGGATAACCATACCCACCAGAGTTATGGGCTGGGTACGTCAAATCTGAATTTCAGAGAGTCCCGGGAGTGCCAATCTCATAAATCAAGAGATTCTGTCGGGAGTGCCAAATTGAAGGATTATGACCTCTTAAAACACTTAAAGCAACAACAACAATAATACCAACAAAATGGCAAATGCTCAAGTGAGAGTGACTTTTTATAGAGAGTGTGATAGGCGGACAGCAACTGTACTATGGCGGGTATAGATTTCGTTGCAAAAGCATAATGAAACAAAATATTGGAGATGTGCTGTCGTTGGGTGTAATGCAAGCCTTTCAACCCGTGAAGACAGACTCAACAAGGTTGAAGAACTGGCCCACACACTGTACATTTTAAAGTTTAACTTTAATGCATAAATATGGTAATGAAATTGATGAGTAGTACTCCTTTGTTCTCGTTTTATTTGCCTTTTACCGGGAGTGCCAAATCCCATGTCAATGAACCGTCCCTGAGTCCTTACTGGTCCCAGGAATACCAAGAGGATCTTTCCTCCTGAATATCAAATTTGGAACTCCCGGGCCGACACCAACCACCAGTACCTAATGAACTGGATGACGCCATACTCTAAAAAGTGTATTCCTACACAAGGAAAATTAATATGATTTTAAACATGCTATTATGAAACACTACCTTAAATTCCTGAAAATCTTTTTAGTACTACCAATCACTTCGGGAAAGTATCAGCTCTACCGCAAAATATATATATTTTCACACCATCTGACTTCAAGGAACTCAGTTGTTTAATACTGAAACAACAATATGCCCAAAGGACCAATTGAGCTAACTTAGTTTATTTATTGTTCGTTGATTACAAGGCCACTGGAAGAGGATTAGGGCCACTGATCACTGTGTGTAAAGCTGCATGTGTAGGACACTGAATGTGTTATTGGTTCTTAGTATAGGGATAATAATCAATTATTCCAATCAACATACTGAGTGAATTGAAATTCAGAATGTTTGAAAAGTATCATGAATGATTGAACGTATGGGGTTTACACTAAAAGTGCCCAGAATGTTTGAATGCAAGAAAATAGTGTGCTATAAATAAATTGTAATTGTGATTAGAGAATCTATAATAGCCACTAAACGGGTACCTAACCCTAATGACAGTAAAGGGGGTAATGATCGTAAAGGGGATCCAAGGGCTAAGGATAGAGTTTGGGGGTAACCTACCCTAACACCGGCTACATTTGGATGCGTTCAGCGCCAATATAATATACCTAATAAACTGCATTCTTGAGAATAATAATCAAAATTAATAAACCGAATAAAATAATTGATGTATTTAGTTCCAAATGTAACCATTTTAGCCACATGAATTATGAAAAAATATGAATAAAAAATATATTGAAAATGAAAGTGCTCTTGTAAACGAGCGCTTGCTATAAAATGTGCAGCCACAGGCTATATTGAGTAAACAAATATTCAAAACTCTCAACATCACTGGGCGTATTCAATGACATTGCACGTAGAGATGATAGATCACTGGGAGGAGCTTATGCACATTCAATGACCCCTGACATCACATGGCATTGTTTCGCCGGTGTGACTAGCAACAAAATACTATAAATTACGTCATAGGGTATTGTCGCATGTTTGAAAAGTTTATAGTACTGTATTCTAAAGGTAGGCCCATAAAAAAAACGAAATTATAAAAAAATGTTTAGGAGACTAAAACCGGTTACGAGAGGATATTTCAATCACAACAATATTTACATTCATGAAAGTAGTTTTAGGAAATGACACGACATAAGTAAGGAATAAGAGGATATTAAATATGTATTATTTAATTAATCCTTTGCATCATTGATTTTCATAGGCACAATGATTTTTGTTATATCATAAAAACAGTGCAAAACAATTCTAATTTAGTCAATAATTATTTTTGTGATTCCTACTGCTAGATTATTATTCATTATCTGATTAGCATAAAAACAATATACCGTTTGGACGGTTTTAATGACATAATTTGCTAGAACTGTTAATTTTCCCGTGCAAAACAACTAGGCTAGACCATATACAGTTTGATGGATTACTAACTACCGCAAAATTCTCTTCCACTGAATACTCATAATGACAAGTGACAAGCAAGGACAAAAAGAAAGAGAATTAATGAAGGTAGAGATGCAGCCCATGATGCTGGACATTGGTGTAACCCTGTAAGATCCACGAAACAGGCACTGATCACCGGGGTAACTTTACAGGGTGTAACAATCCTCTCAATAATTAACCTAAACGCTGGGAAATTGTGGCCCAGTGTTGATTGCATTACACGGTCAAGATATTCAATTATACATCAGCCATGAGTACTAACTTACCATAGCGTTAGATTCGTGCGAATGTCATGAATAAATAATGTATATGGCACCTCTTGTTTACATCGTCACGCACAGGCCGCCATTACGAGTCATAGTTTCTATGGTTACAGACTTCGAAGAAGTGAATATAATTAAAGGTGTTTAATATTCAACGTAATAGTTATAATTCGTACATGGTTTTACGGTAGGATAATTACCATAAAAGTGGATTTGGCTTTTTTTCTCTCGCTATCTTGTCAAAATAAGGCATAATCATATGTGACGTCACTTCCGTGTATGGCGACGTCGACGAGGGAACATTTCAAGGTTGTGTCCATTAATATTTTAGAAAATATTTCACATTTGAAGATCATAATTTTATCTTTGTGTCATCCCTTAACACTGAACAATCATTGACCATATTTCTACGGTAATTCCTTTCAACATTGCCGTTTCATTTCTTTGCCTTTTTCCAATAATAAATCCAATGTCCGTTCATGAGAAAGAGTTCCGAAAGCATACCAACTTCCTCAAATTATTTTTTGTCGATCAAACACTTCATTGCTTCCTTTCTTAACTCCCAGTGACTTTATTAATAATCACCCAACGACATTTTAGAATGCTTATTATTCTTTCTACAGCATGACATAGTAAACTAAGATAGCTGACCTAGATTGGCTTACCAGCTTATCAAGACGAGGGTGAAATAGTGTAATAGTGTGGATCATGCTGTTATTAGCCTATATAGTTTCAAGAAGTGCTAATAAATGTGAGACTGTGTTTCTGTGTGAGAAGTAGAGGTTTACATGTTTCCTGTTGTATTTGAAAGATATGTACAAATATGTATACACTAGACCTAGATAATAATTGATTGAAGCTTGGACAATTGCCATCTGGAGTCTCGACAGATACCACCAGCCACTTTAACCGGCCAACTAGCTTTGTTCTTCACCTGCAGAAATAACTGTAACAAATGTTTCCTTTATCATATACTAACCTTTGAGGGCAGTTCAGGTTTTATCAAACTTATTCAAAATCTCACTTTAAAACTTAAAGGGACTGTATGTCAATGTTCAGTGTATTTTTAGATCATGCATGAAATAATTCTGAGTGTGACGTCACACCTTCAGTTCAAGCACGATTCAATTCTCAAACCTAAACAATAGAGCTCCTCAGCGAATTGACAACTTGCAAATAGAAGAGAAAGTTGTGATGTTTTCACATGGAAGAGTTACAAAATACTAATCATGCTAATTGCAAGCTTTTTTGGATTAGAAGCCAGTGTTTATCAAGGCAAAGAGTACAATATAGATGCCTCTGTTGTATGAAGCCATGGAATCACTCACCTACTCAGAGTTCCTTGAGGCCAGCCTAGTTCCTCTGCAATATCGTCACATCTTACAGTCCATTCAAGTTATTGCATCTTTTTCAGCTATACATTTTGATAAACATATGTCATGAAATATTTAACTTTGAGAAAATATCCTGAAACGTTACCATTTGAAAAACTGTTACTATTTGCGTATTTATTCTATGTTTAGATTGGTTGTATGGCTCCAGGAGCTGTCATCGAGACCCAACGGAGAGCTAACGATACGGTCACTTTGATATTTAAAGCTATATTGTCGTGTACCTCAACGTCGCAGTTGCAGGAGCATATCTACATAACTATGCAAAACAGTATGTAAAGCCCACCGCAAGGCTTGCATTGGGTCAGTCTGTTCTTATTTCAGAATAAGTGTGTTTGTTTACAAACAAGTGTAAAGTCTGGTCACTTGATCAGCCTACACCCACGGTGTAGTCACCGGAGCAGAAACTTTCTCACGGAATAAGGCGAACAGAGCCGAGTAAGCTGAGGGGTTATCAGATCATGTTTACAAACAAAGCTTCAGGATGGTCAGTGTACTGGCCCTTTAAATTTTGTCTGTCAATCTGTCTGACTGTACCATATACATGGCTTGTGAAAACAATGTATGTCTCACATCGAAGAACTTCCCAACCATGACGTAGAGGAACAAGAATGATTCTATTCAATGCAACAGCAAATCAATGAAAACAAAATGCAAATATCATAATTACAACCTACCAAAGTTTATATGTATAAATTTAGAATGCTACCTTGTTCGAGGAATGTATCCGTGAATATCCACATATATGAACAATTCCATACGTCTGCAGCTGTACAAATAAACTTATTCGATGTAATGAGTCTCTGTAACAATCAAATATTTTAAAATATATATAGTGTTTTGGGATATAATAACCCGTATTCGTTTCTCAACTGATCACTTAGTTTGTTTCAAGTTTTTCACATAGGTGTCAAGTCTCAAAGGTCAGCTGAGAAAGCCCACGTGCCAACTATTTTCATAATGTCCACGGTTCTTTAAAAAACCATAGCATTAGATAACAATGAACAATCAATCAACGTATTATCGGCTAATACTTTGAACAAAGTATTTTGTTTTTACATTGGCCCTTCATCCCCAGATATGGGTGTATTCTGTCTGCTTAAGTAAACATACACTTGTAAATACTTGCTTTTGACAAATCTACTGTGCAAGATAACAGTGATTAATCAATCAACACATTTTCTGTTGATCCTTTGAAGGAGAGGAATAATCTGTTGATTTACGAAAAAGTAAATCAACTGATCACTCCTATTCTGGGCTGCCACGTGCATATTACATAACATACATTTACCTCACTTCAAACCTGGATTTAGATTAAATAATTACCCCAGACACAAGAAATGCCAATGGAAACCTTTGTCAGGTAATCTGAGTGGTGCTACCACTAATTATACCTGTAATAAGTTCATTAACTGAGCTTCAAGTGAATACACAGGTGTAGTCATATACCAGGAAACAGTGGATGACAACAAGAGATAGCAATTGTATTATCTGCGAAATCCGAAATCTGAAATCTGAAAATGCTTTCACTGAAGGGATACTTTTTTATTATTAAACTTATAACCATCAGGGGTATTTCCAAATAACGACATCCGATGAGCTTTCACCGTTCTTTTTGTCTGTTTCTTTAGGCTGAAGAAATGAATTAACATGCACCCTTTGTCGAAATCTTCATAGATCATGGGTAACCAATCAGTTTTCAAAAATGCGTAAAACAGATATTGCCTCGAAGTTTATTAAGCTGTCCTTACAGACGGTAGCCAAGTCTTTGTCACGCTCTTCAGTAACAATTTCAAAAGCCAACTCACCCTTGTGGCGTCACTAGCCAAGCTTATGCCTTCCTTGATCCTTACTATGATCCGCATTATCCTTAGTGTCCCCTCCCACACTTTACTGTCACAAAGTCACCTGACAAATTATTAAATGTTATTCACTCAGGCAATTCATAAAATGTATAAATATATCAGTAATTTACAGATTGACTGAAACATCTGTCCATTTATTCAACAGATTGTCTAACAATTTTTAAAAGGTTCAAAAGGGCTTAAAACTTCACAATAGACTATATATGTTAGGATGAGAGTGAGTGAGTATTGTTTAAAGCTGCTTTTAGCAGTATTCCAGCAATATCAGAGCGAGGGACACCAGAAATGGGCTTCACACTTTGTACCCATGTTGCGAATTGAACCCGGGTCTTCGGGGTGACGAGCGAACGCTTTAACCACTAGGCTACCCGACCACCCCGCTAGGATTAGAAGCCCAAACTATAGAAATGTACTTTGAATTTTGTTTTCTTTTAATCCTATCATTTTCAGTCACTGGGTGATGAAATTAAAGCATAAAAATGTTTGGAATTTGTTATCATAATAACATAAATGAACAGATTTTTCAGTCAATTTGTAAAATAACTGAATATACACACGATAAAAATAAGTAATGCTCAGATGAAATATTTACTTTGTGTTGCAAATCAAAGTAGCGTGAATGAAAATCACACAATAACAAGCAAGTGACTTATGAAAACTGTCACCATTACCGATGCAAAGATACCTACATTTCCATATTATCTTCAAGACTCGGCTGTATTTCATTTTGTTGTTCAATGTGACCATACGCCCTTACACTATCAATAAAAGCGACAAATGCGCTTATGATTGGCGAAGCACAGGTCGTGAACTTGTCTAGATTTCTGCTATACATCCGGGTACTCACGGTGAAAAAACAATAACAAAGGCAACACCCAGTCCCGGGGAATTGCTGTAGATCAGTGCCCCTTTAATAATGAAAATTAATTAATTGAAAAAATATCCATTTATAATCCTGTTAGCATCATGAATTAAGTTGAAACTGAAATATCCAAATATAGTGAAAATTAAAATGCTTTCATAAACTAGCGCTTGCTAGAAAATGCGTTGCCACAGGCTATATTTAATAAACAAATCTTTAAAACTCTCAACATCACTGGGCATGTTCAATGACATTGTGTGGAGAGATGACAGATCACTGAGTGGAGCACATGAATTATAACAATACTGTTCAACATCCAGCTCGCGCAGATTCTGTAGTATTTCCCCTCTAGCTATATGTCTCTGCCCTACAATATGCCATTTTGATCTCTGAAATTTAAAACATATGATTCAAGTTGGTGATTCATCTGCAAAAAGAAAGAATATCAACTTATGAAATATAAGTTCAGCATCGGGATATGAATCATATTGCACCCTAGTATCAGGATATGTATTGTATCGCAACCTTATCCTTTCGTTACACCTTTAGTCAAAACTTCAGTTACACTTGACACAAGAAGCGTATTCATACTTGTACACAAATAAAAATACAATGTACTCATGAAAAACTGTGAGAGGTCACAACTGTGCCTATAGTGCTACCAGTACCTCGCTATAGCACTAAATGTCTCAAACAGCATTGTGTGTTGCTTCACTGGTCTTGCCTGTCTTTTCGTAAGAAAACATAATTGTTTCATGTAAATATGTCAGACATTAACTGATTATCATAAGATTGCAGTAAGAAGAATGTACATCATATGTTGTCTGGAAGTGACAGTTGACAGCTTATGAAGCTAGACCCGGTTTCTTGTTATGTTGACCAATCACTTACGCTAATATAGAAAATTTTCTCTGCTTCAGCAAAAAACATTAAATTTGTTGTTGTTATTGATTTGATGTTTTCTATCAACATGATCAGTAATCAGTGTTTCAACTTTAAAAAGGGGCGGTCGGGTAGCCTAGTGGTTAAAGCGTTCGCTCGTCACGCCGAAGACCCGGGTTCGATTCCCGACATGGGTACAATGTGTGAAGCCCATTTCTGGTGTCCCCCGGTGATATTGCTGGAATATTGCTAAAAACGGCGTAAAACCATACTCACTCACTCACTCAACTTTAAAATGATTGCAGATAAATTTATTTATGGATATATAGTGAATTACGAAAACAACATTGGAAAAAGTGTCGTTATCAGCTATAAATGTATAAGGGAAAAAGGGAACAAGAACTCAGCTGTTGTTTCAAAAATCAAATTATCAACTTTCTAAATGAGGCCTTAATACATGTAATAGTTTTTTATGTTTAATTCACTTATTGGTTGAAAGTGGAAATTCCATGATGAAATGAATATACAAATTTCAAACGCAGTTTCAATAGTGCATTGATCAGCTGGTGATAGACATGTGTAAATATTGTTGCAAGTGTTAGTAATGAGATGACCCATGAAGATCCAGGTTAGAATAGACATGATAGATCTTCAGCAACCCATGCTTACCGTAAGAGGTGACTAACAGGATCAGGTGGTCAGGCTTGCTGACTTGGTTGATGCATGTCATCGTATCCCAATTGCGTGGATCGATGCTCATAATATCAATCACTGGATTTCGCTTTAGTCATTTTCTGTGAATCCTACGGTGCATATTGTCAGACATCTTCCAGAGGCAGGGAAGTTAACTGACTATAAAAGTCCAGTTTCCACCCTTGCCGAACTAGGCTGGTATTATGGAGTTACATTTTGGCTGGACTAATGAGTCTATGCATAGTCCAATCAAAAGCGTGCACCAAAATCGAAATCCTGTTCGTTAACTGTCATGCAGATTTTGGTCGATTGCAGGATTTGCAAAGCATGTGCACCGCCAACTCGTCAGCAGATCTTTTCCACATTTTTTAATGTTTTTAATCAAGGTGCTCATGTGATTTGATGCATTTCGCGATGTAAGACCCGTTTTATCACAATATAGATCTTGATTGTCGATCAGATCGTCCTGACCGGGAGCCACCATTTTGTGTGAAGCAAACGCAAGTGATACGAGAGGTGGAATCTGATTGGTCCATAGGAGAGGCTTAGAAGGGACATAACTGGTAATAGCCACTGGTGGCGCTACGATCAAGCCCAGTAATTCCAGTTTAGTTCGGCAAGGGTGGAAACTGGACTTTTAAAGTCACTTAACTCTCTTGCCTCGGGAAGATGATTGTCAGACTTTCTTAAGGGTTGATACATGGACCCCATTAGTGATGATCAACAGCTAATACTGAATGAGGGGGATCTGGTAGCCACAACTAGAATGAAATACTGTTTAAAGTGGCAATAAGCTTAACTCGCTTGCTCACCCACTTACTTACCTGGTTTGGGAAATAGCTGGGATTACTGACCAACTAATTAATTTGAATTTCGTCAGTGTTATCAATCTATTATCTGTTACAACTATCATCAATTTGTTTTCCACAGGTGTCTGACATCCTTGAATGATTATCCTGCTGGTAGAAGCTTCTGAGTGAGAGTCTGCACCATGGAGGATGGGCAGGTGTCCCAGCCTCACTCCGATCATGGCTACAGCTGTGGAGACCCTTCCTCCACTGCCTCCCCACAGATCAAGATGCCCTTTCTGGAGAAGTTGTTACAGCTGCGAGAGAAGCAGCTGTACTGTGACCTGGTGATAGAGGTGAAGGCAGTCAAGTTTTACTGCCACCGTGCAGTAGTAGCTGCCTGGAGTCCTTACATACACAGCATGCTCAACATGAAGAATATAGAGAGAGAGGTCATCAAGATCAATTTCAACAACGTAGCTGTCTTTGCTGCTGTGCTGGATTATATGTACACTACTGCCCTTGACCTCCGAGAAGTAAATTTGATCCAAGTGTTGCATTTGGCAACCAGTTTCCAGGTGCAGCCACTGCGGGATATGTGCGAGGGGTCACTGCGCTGCAACCTTCATGTGGGTAATATCATCAGTACGTTCCAGTTAGCACGCAAGTTTCAGCTCTCTGGCTTGGAGGACTACTCTCTGACATATCTTCAGATGCACCTACCTGAAGCAGTTAAACAGAATGACTTCCTTAACCTAAGTGCTGTGCGCTTCAACACTTTCTTGTCAAGTGGGTATGTGATAAACTTGAAGCCAGAGGTGAAGCTCTTTCTCATTATCAGCTGGCTTGGCTATGATGTGAAGGAGAGGGAACAGTATTTTGTTGTGCTACTCGGTCACATAGACTGGTCCACTGTAGCTAATGACTTCCTTATGGAGATCAGTCAGACTGAGAATTTCTTCACCACCAATGAGTCCAGTTTGTACCTCCTCCTTCAGACACTTCACAGCTCTGGGATATCTCTTGGACCATACACCAATGCCTTCAGTGACCTCCGTAGCAAGTACTCCTACCTCCTGTCCCAAGTTGTGCAGAGTAGTATTTGGAAGACAGCACCTGAAGTGTTCTCCCCAGTGACTGTGTGTCTGGTGACCCAGCAGCAGGTGGCCCGGCCGAAGCCTGTCAATGCAGGCATCTCAAGTGTGGCTGTGCAGACAGATAGTGACTCTGCTCATAAGCTACAGCAGCAGGTGGACAGTCGAATGCTTTGTGTTGCAGATGTGTCAGAGGACAGGCAGTTGGTGTTGAAGTCTGAGGAAGGATCTTTACCTGAAGCTATTCAGCAGTCTACGTCAAGCAGTGATTTACCAAAACGGAGATCCAGTGGACGTAAGAGTTCAAAGCCAAAGAAAATTCCAAGGATGAAAAAAAGATTGACCAAGGGTTTGAAGAGATCGAGGAGACGAAAAGCAGGCTTGAGAGGGCTCGAAGAAGAAGCTGATATTGTGACAAGAAGAGAGTCTTCCAGGGTTCCTAAACCTGTCGTGTATGATGAATTTGATAATGGTGATGAAGTAAATGATGAAGAGGACAATACAGCGGAAGAGCCAGAAGAATTGCTGGAAGACGATGATGAAAATGACCCCGACTTCACTGCAGGAAGAAACCAAGATGGTGATTTGTCACCTACTGGTGAATGTGATGGGGAAAATGAAGAAGTGTCCAACTTCCACAAATTAGCTCAGGCACTACAGCTGCAGCAACAAGATGATGATGATGATGATGATGATGAAGATGAAGAGGAGGAGGAGGAGGAAGAAGATGAGGAAGATGAGAATAATGGACATTCGGGTCAGCAAAGGTTCAAGAGAAAACGAGGACGTCCAAAGAAAGGCACAGAACCCATTAAACCAAAATGTGAAAAGTGTTCTTATATTGGCAAAAATGAACAAGCACTAAGAAATCACATGAGAAGGATTCATGAGGAAGGTTTAGCATTCAAGTGTGCAATGTGTCCTTTTGAATGTCAATGGAGCAAGGAATATTACAGTCACTGTAAGGAACATTACGGGGAACCGCCCTACCATTGTGACTTTGAAGAATGTAATCAAACATTTGATAAGATCCATCTCCTATTGAATCACAAGGATAGGCACACAGATGAAAGGAGATGGGCATGTGATCAGTGCCCAGCTCGGTTTCGGGCAAGGAATAATCTTACGTCTCACAAGAGATCTCACACAGGTTTGATGTAGTTTTCATTATGTTTAGCATGGTCAATAATGTAGTCCTGTACGACAGCTATAGGGAAATTCCTGATGAATTTGTAGGAGCCAAGGGTCACCCTGCGCTGTATCCGAGGTAGCAGTACATCAAGGGGCATTTTATCGAGGGTTCCCTGTATGTAGACAAGGTGAATACATTCTAGATTGTGTACATGGTGTAGTCGGAAGTAAATGTATTTTACTAGATGCATTTTATCTTTGTCCTCATCATGCGCATCTTTATGCTAAAGAGTAGGACCAACATGATCTGTGACATGTTGCGTAAGTACTTTTACCATGAATATTAGCGTGATTTGTAACTACATTTATGAGGCTGTCGGAACACTGATTAGCTTGGAGTTTCAGCAGGCTTAGGTTGGGTTCTGGTTGCAAACTGGAAATTGTGGCACATTGTAAGATGTTTAGCATGCACAGTGAGCTTGTCAGGTCCATAATGACAATGATGATTGTGGTTGTATGTTAAAGTTGATCAGTGTCCTTCCAGTACAAACTGTTGTCCTTTTTCATATCACATTTTGTTCATTTAAGGTGAGAAGCCCTTTGAGTGCAACATATGTCATCGAAGCTTCGCCACTAAGAATACAATGAACCAACATAAAGTGACACACAGCGATGACCGGCCGTACTTGTGTGACACATGCGGCTTTGCTACAAAGTACCAGTCTCACCTCATAGCTCATCGGCGTATACACTCAGGTATTGAGGAGCTCATGCAGTATTGGCATGCTTGCATTTATGTATTTGGTTCCGTGTCTCAAGTGTATTTTGCACGACACATGCTAGAATTAACATGATTAAGTCACGCTAACAGAGAAATATTTTCTCGCTTTAATTTGTAACAGTGATCATGTTAGCAGGTAAGCAGTGGGGAAATTCCAATAAACATGAAACTAATTTCCAATCTGCAAAATGAACAAATATCATGATGCAAGTCATGAGTTTGACAACAATGATTAATAATACCTATATTGATTTATAACCACAAGCCTAGGACTTAAAAACATGTATGCCACCACCCCAATGATATAAGCAGTGATAAGGATGTAAATAAGATAACTAGCAACAGCACTTGTTTCACTGGGGCACGTGAACTGGTGTTAATACAAACAACAGAACAACATGGATTCCTTTGATTATGTTAAGTTGGAGACAACCATTTAATAGATAAAAAGGGGAGTGGTACAGTGACAACATTGTTGCCAAATTGCTATTAATAGTTACCAGATGGTTACATATTAATAGTATCCAAGTTAAAGTTGACGGTCACAGATAATCTGTAAATAATTTGCCCTTAGTAATTTCATGGCAAATGTCTTAGGCATGCCTATGTCTGGTTTATCGGAAATCGTACTAAGATTGGTTGGTTTGTTGTGTGTGTTATTCTCCCTGCAGTGTTTTATTGTACGAAGAACAAGACTCTCTCGTCGTTTCTTTCTTATATGAGATGTCAGCATTATGTAGAGCTTTTTAAGGATGATGATAAAATGTACAAGCTTTAAAAATGTATACCCGTATTTAAATAAGGATGACTCCCTCAATAGAATCCGACCTTGCCATTGAATGCACAGGTGGGTATTTCCTGCATATTCTCACATCGATTACCTGTACCTTTTCTCCTAATACCAATTGTATCTCTCCCGCTTTTGGAAGCTCCTTCGGCCATTGCGTTTATCTGGTTCTGATTTCCATGGTTACATGTTAACACGGGTGCACAATGTTGAGTTTATTAAAACACACAACTTGAATGAAACATCACGTTTCGTGGTAAGTGGTCATGTGTACCATGTGCACAGTGTGTAACGTCACCATGGTCACTAATTTTTCCCCACAGTTAAACATTGTTAGTTGTCCAGAGTAGGTGGTTGGGTAAACATGGTCAGGAGCTTGACTCCACACTGAAACATGTTATGTGTTGGTCTCCTTTGACTTTGTTCAAATATGTCTCTTCTAGCAGTGAATGGGTACCTTGTAGAATGATATGGTAATGTGACTGCCAGGAGAGGCATGTTCGAACAATTAGCTTGGGTTGTATACTTCCCAGGGAGCTGAAAATGAAATTCATGTGCACACCAATCCAGTGACCATGTTGACGGATGTAGTAATCTAGCACTAGAGCATATCATCAGGATTTCAATTTTCGTGTATATTTGCGCAAAACAATCTCGGGATCATAACCTGGTTGTTAGGATTTATAATTGTTCATCTGGTGTTTGGGTGTTTTAAAAGGAGCAACGTTCCAGATACAGAGTGTAGTCCTACCCTATATATGCAGCAGTCCATGTGATCAGTACCCATGCTTCTACAAGTTGTGCGAGGTCAGGCACTAACTGACTGTTGTTCCAACATGACCATGGCATGTCTGTCTTTGCTTCAGGTGATGTGTACCACTGTCATTTCCCCCAGTGTACCTACGTTACCCCAAAGAGAAGTCAGTTGAAAGCACATATGCGTTCACATCTTGGCATCAGGCGACATGTCTGTCCGACTTGTGGCAAGGCATTTGTTGAAAAAAGTCATCTTGTAAGACATGAGAGAATCCATCTTGACCAAAAGCCATTTAAGTGTAATGAATGTGACTATAATTCTGCAAGGATTGACAAACTGAAAGATCATATTCTCCGACACCATGGGTCAAACAGCCCCGAAAAGTCCAAGTACCCAACTGTGCGTCGACCTCGTAAACCTAAATCGAGTGCCTGGCCTGTGAACGTAGTGCCTCTCCCTCATCCCCCACTTGCGGACCAAACAGAGGACCCTGCAAATCCTATCAAACAGAATCCTCAGCCACTTGTTTTGTCAGAACATGGTTATGTGAGAATGACTGCTCCAACTGAAGATGGTTCCCAGATCACACATGGACGACATCCGGGTCCAGTGCTAGACATCCCACCAGGTCTGAGTAGCCAGCAGCAAAGTATGACAGCACATGTCCACCAACAGGCAGCCATGTTGCACCCACCACCCCCACCTAGTGGCACCCACCCTACAGCTATAGCCTCGCAGTCCCAGGCCCCATCTCACATGCAGGTGCTCCCCACTATAGAATCTGTGTCAGGTGCTGCACAAATGACATCCTACGTTGTGCCGACCACCTCCTCTGTACTTGTCTCATCGCATAACACACATCAGCATCAGCAGCACCCTCATCAACATCACCAACAACATCAGCAGCAGCAGCAGCAACAACAACCACAACCTGACTATGGAGGCCTGGGAGCCTTCATGGCTCTCTTCTGATCCTGTTGATCATTTTAATTCAACATATGAAATTGACAATGGAATATCCATTTCTTCCACTTTTAAATCTTATTGAACATAACACTGAAGAATGATGTTCAGAACTGGTGTCAGGGTATGTGCTCCTTATCTTGTTGACATTGTTAACTATTATACCTTGGTCCAATGTGATTGATGTTCTTAAGTAATGGATTTGTATGAAATGTATTATTTTTGACACATAAAATTATTGAAAGAGGGCCAGATGATTTTGATGCAGTTTGTTATGTTGGGTTGTTTTTTTTAACAATATTCATGATACTTGCGATATTTTAGAAACCATACACTGTATTTATGTGCATAATTGTACATGTATATGTTAGTAACAACATGTTTTGCGGGACCACCATTCAGTTTGTTGTCATTGACAGTTGTGGATCATGAAAGTTGCCTACAGGGTACGGTCATAATGTTCGATCATCCCTTTATATGCAAAGTTCATACCACATATATTTGTTTCTTTTACATTTTGTAGACAAGCATAGTGAACCATTATTACTTTGTGGGAAGAAACATTTCTCTCACATTAAAACAGTTGTTAGCTGATGGACTATATATCTCATGTTAAATGAACTAAATAAAGGAATCCGCAAAGTATATTGGGAAAACTCCCATTGCCAGTAACAAACTCATCCTTTCGAAGTTGCCTGTGTCACCATGGTCACTAGGCTTTCCTCCCACATCGTTTTAGGACTAAAATACTGTCCCAACTTGTATTAAACCCCAACTGAGTCTCTTTATTACTTGCAGTCCACTGTGATCTAGGTGGAAGTTTGCTGACCAACACATTATTTCTTCAAGTGATTGTTTAGTTCCCTGGTCTAGCCTCCCAACAGTCATAATAACCATTCCATCACTGGCTATACAGGGTTGATTTGTGCACAAATACTGGTAAACTGGTAAGATACATTTAAGTTGATCAAACTGCAGAGTGGTTCAGAAAAGGGAGGATTAATCTCGAACTATGTGTCGCAATAAAGATTCACTTTCAGTAAGACAAACCTATAAAATTTAATTAGACCTTCATGCTTTAAAAAATGTCAATATTATGATGATGACTATGGTGCATAAGTAATGCTGAGGTGGCAGATAAGTTCCTAATTGTTAGAGAAGATTGTTGACCAGGGTAGCCAGAAGGTACATAGACACAAGTTAATCTCTGGAATTCGGGAAAATTGCACAGTGACAATCAAATTGGAACCTTTTAATTAAATGTGGTGTATGTTGTCTAAAAAATTGGGATTCATTGATAGTCATTTTCACAATAGGCATCTTGTAATTTATTTGAGACACATAAAAATAGGAAACATATATTTGCGAGAATGATGGCAACAGGTGTATTCTAGTGTACACCTAAAAATCATGTATAATTGTATATTTGAATAATAGCAAAACAATAAACAAACTAATAATGATTTGGTTAATTTATTTTTTTCACACAAATTTGGACTGATGCTCAGACATTAAAATGGTTTGATGTCTTGACCATGAATCCCACTAGCACAGGACCATTGTGGTTGAAGGTGGGTTTTGTCATGATTGTGATCATTGCACAGGTTTTCCTTAACACCATGACACAGGCTGACCAACTACAGTGTTCATGTTGCAACCATCAAGTCCATAATTCCACAATAATTTACAACACAGGTGATATACATATGTACAGCTGGAGTGTAGACTTGTGTGTGGAAGATGTTCCACAGTCAGATCTGTCACATGATTAGTGAGTGAGTTTGGTTTTACGTTGCTCTCCGCAATATCACTGCGGGGGACAACAGCATGTACCCATGTGGGTAATCAAACCTGGGTCTCAGCGTGATGAGCAAACGTTTTAACCACGAGACTACCCCACGGACCCTGTCAAGTGATAATGTCTGGTAGGTCTCACTATGACCAGCACAGTATTTAAGGCCCTGATCTCACAGTAACTGATCCCAGTCTATCTGACTTGAGAATACTTCCATGTCTAGCCAGCGCTCGTAGTTGTGCATGAACTCATCACTCAGTTCTACTGATTCTCCCAGTACACTCAGCGTACACGTATCCACTGGCTTAAAGTCAGGGTCAGTGCCATTAGTGCCATATCGACGGTTGTTAAAACGATCAACACAAGCTCGCAGTGCACATTCTTCTGCTTGGAAGTCCCACGGTCGAGCATCCATATCTGACAACAGAAAACCAATATTTGTTAATTATTAAGTAACAACATGTTAAATAGAATGCAAATAGAAAAGAACCAGCAGGTTGAAGTTCCTGATATTACATTTAGTCAATGTGCATCTTCTGCAGAAATGATTGTACCAGAAATATACCAGCCATATGGCTGGGGAAACCATGGATGACTGTCACAACAAACAAGCAACAAACTGACCATTTCCATATGCCCAGTCATCACCTAGTCGATGCCGGACTTTCTGGTAGATAGCCGACATGGTTTTCATGTTGCTTTTCCTCCACTGGCGTCCCAGGTATTTGGTTTGCATCTTGAGGAGCTTGAGGATGTACAGTTGCATCATTGCATGCTTCACCTTCAGAGCACGCTTAAGGATAGGTGCAGATTTGAACACAACTAGCATCTAAAACAACAAACACAAAACTATCATTCACATTTTAATATCAGAGGGTAGGACACTAAGGATTGTTCTAAATTTGCACTCTGAAGTAAGTAGCTCTTGGATCTCGTCGCATGAAGATTAACAAAAGACTTTGCATTACATCTCAACATGATACGCCTTGACCAGGGTGGAGTGTGGGAAACATACCATGGTACGAGAATGTTTCCACTTTGTGAGCTTGTTTAGGATGCGGAGCAAGTTGATACAGGAAAACAGATTCCTCCAACAGTATGGTTGACTGTCGCCATTCTCCTGCAACAGATATATATGTTCATAGATGCACTTCTAACTGTCACCATTCCCGTTACAGATACATTCACCAAGTTCACACAGTCACTGTCCCCTGTAACAAACATACACATAGCAAGTTCAGTCACATCCCCTGTAACAGACACACACAGCAAGTTCAGTCACCATCCCTTGTAACGGACATACACACAGCGAGTATGCTGTCAACATTCCCTGTAACAGACATACACACAGTGAGTTCACAGTCACCATCCCCTGTAACAGACATACACACAGTGAGTTCACAGTCACCATCCCCTGTAACAGACATACACACATTAAGTTCACAGTCACCATCCCCTGTAACAGACATACACACAGCGAGTTCACAGTCACCATTCCCTGTAACAGACATATACACAGTGAGTTCACAGTCACCATCCCCTGTAACAGACATACACACAGTGAGTTCACAGTCACCATCCCCTGTAACAGACATACACACATTAAGTTCACAGTCACCATCCCCTGTAACAGACATACACACAGCGAGTTCACAGTCACCATCCCCTGTAACAGACATACACACAGTGAGTTCACAGTCACCATCCCCTGTAACAGACATACACACATTAAGTTCACAGTCACCATCCCCTGTAACAGACATGCACACAGCGAGTTCACAGTCACCATCCCCTGTAACAGACATACACACAGTGAGTTCACAGTCACCATCCCCTGTAACAGATATACACACAGTGAGTTCAGTCACCATCCCCTGTAACAGACCTACACACAGTGAGTTCACAGTCACCATCCCCTGTAACAGACATACACATAGTGAGTTCACAGTCACCATCCCCTGTAACAGATATACACACAGTGAGTTCAGTCACCATCCCCTGTAACAGACATACACACAGCAAGTTCACAGTCCCCATTCCCCTGTAAAAGATTTACCATCATATTTTCTCCTACTCAACAACAACTTTCATAAATCAGATAACAAATTTCAAATTTGGTGAAAAAATCAAGAATTTCCATTAAAGCTTCACAACAATTCTACTACCACACTGAACTGTATAAAGAGAGACAAGTGTATCAAGGCATTGCATACCTGGCTAAACACATGCAGGTGATGTGCAGTGGCAGTGTCAAACACCAGATGGGATTACAAGAAATAAAGCTGCATGCAGATTGATGACCGCTGTCTAGCCATGTCATTAAACAAGTTTGAGTCAAACATCCATGCATTACTGTATACAAGTCTGTTTTGGAGGCGCAGCCAGGCAAGTATGCTGCTGATAAAAACAGTGAAAATGGCATGATGAAGTCAGCCACAATGATACAGCTGTATGGCCCCACTACACAGGAACACACCAATGTCACTCTCACTCCCATGCTGCATCAGCTCTCCCCCATGCCTCTACAACTGCTGTTATGAGCAGCTTCAGTCACCGCCACATCACAAGGACAAGTAAGTTGTAAGGTAGTTACAAGAGGATTAACTGAAACTTGGCCTTTGACTGAGGTATTCTGGACTGACTGGTTATTTGAGCTGTTTATGGTTGTAGGTACTGCCTGAACCACCACAATGACTAAACGTTATCTACACCATGACCATCACTGCAGGAATCGATAGGATTAATGGACACAATAAACTTTTACTGACTAGTTATGTACAAATCTTCCTGTAATAACCAAAGCACAAACTTTGTGGAACCTGTACAGTAAGCAGTCCCTTGCAGGAAAAAAGAAATGGAAGAAACCAGCTATGTATCCCAGTTGCCTTATCAGGGAGCTGCAAAAGAAATCTTGCTGCCATGTATTGTGCCTCCCTTTACCCAAGTACAGTATCTGTAACACGCCATGTGCATTTCTCTCCTTCAGAGAGGTTAATAACACACTGTGACCATATGGAAAGGATAAGTTAACCAAACAACATATGTCATGTATTTGTTGATGAAAATGTCACTGACGCTTCTTGTATGTCAGGAATATTAGTCAGATATTACATATGAAAGCTGGACATTTGTGACACTGGTCATCACTATCCTAATTCATTTTATGACAAGGTCAAGGGTCCACTTTGGCAATGATCTATGACAAGAACATAACTAATGGTCATCTCCATGACAACTGATCTGATGGCAAAGCAACACAGGCAACAGTCATCACTATCATGTCTATAGCAACTGATCTCACGACAATAGCAAAACAGGCAATAATCATCACTACAGCAATTAATCTGTAGACAATAGCAACACAGGCATGCAAGATTATTCAGCATGGTCAAAATGGGCACAGGGGTAAAAAGGGGAAGTACAATGTAAGCACCCTGTCTCTCTATCCAGGTTTATCTACTTCAGCAGTTAGCCTTTATCATGAAGAACAATAGCAACTCAGAACATTATTAACGTAACCGTCTGTTATGTTAGTTTCAAATTTGGTGAGATCATATGACAAAAATTGTATGTCACTGCCAGCAATACTCCAGTCATAAGACAACAGTGTACACAAACAGACTTGGTCTAGAGTTAAAGACTTCCCAGGGAGTTTACCAGTCAATGAAAACAAGTCCACCAATATATTTTTCTTAAATTGTGTATCTCAATAATTAGCTTGTTTCCTAAACCAACATAAGCAAGGTGACTAATATATACGAAAGAATGTGTGAAAGGAATGGAATTGTACCAATCAAGCAGCAATATAATAATATCAGTCCTCTTTTTATTCAAGCACAAGGCCCTTGTTCAGCATGTGTGTTATTCACAGAAAGCCTGAGGTATGTAGGAGTTGTTACGTGGCCGTTGGTCAGGACTGATGGATGGATGAATGTTTACAGTGACAATGAAGACAGAGCAAGGAAGAGAGACATGAGGGAAGAATGCATGCTCACCTGCGCCTCCTCGGACGTGAACTACAAGGTAGGTGAATCACACATTGTCAAAACACTCTCCACAATACAGGTAACACAAGACTACATACTCCAGCCAGGTCTACTCGCCATGTTTGGGGCAGCCATCTGTCTTACGAGGGGCAACATTGGGATAAACACATGGTGCCTTGACTAGCTTCTGGATGTGTCTGGCTGGGTGTGAAGGTGTGCAATTAGTACTGGTTGTTAGTTCCAATGTGACTACACATGCTGAAGCCAGACCTCACTACAGGTAATCTACCCCCTCCTCCCTTCAACGTCAGGTCACAACTAAGCTAGCTATTTGCCAGCCTTGATTATCCAGTGTATCATATCTCCATCATATTATGTAAAATACCATTGGACACATTTACCACTAAATAGCAGTCCAACCAATGACTCTCTTCTTTTATGATTAACACAAACAACGTTATGAACAGCACTTGACTCGCCTTGATGCATACCATCTCAAATACGTCTGACAGCGTACAGACTCCCCTCATATTACTCAGGAAAACCTCTTTTCCACCTACAATATACAAAAGTATTTCCAACACCCTCTGATTTGATGTAAAAGCCGTTGTTGAGGGGTCAATGACATACGGCTGTAATTGTGAATATAACTTGTGCAGAAAAGTCATCTTATTGGTTGTTG